CTAAATAAAAGTTTGCAGGCCAACACCCAAACCACATATCTTTTATTATGGATTGTTTCAGGACATGAAATCTCAAACCCACTAATGTACACATATAGATGTGATACTGCATGGCTGCTATTCAGCTTTATAACCAAGGCCCATTATGGGAAGAAATACAGCGAGCTCTAGAAAGAGGATATGGGTGAGTGTCCTGGCTGTGGCTGGTTGAGTGGTGAAGGGAAGGGGAAAACAAAGGGAGCTGAGCCATGTTTATTTCCTTCTGCTTAGCTATAAGGCAGGGCTTGTTCAAGTCATTTTGCTGTCCCAAGTGGGTAGTATGGGAGGAGAGCCGCATGGTAACAGGTATGGTTCCCTCCACCCCTGACTTATGTTGATTTGGGGCTATGCAGTGGCAGCTCAGGTAGAAAAGTTTCAGTATGAAATAGTAAGGAAGTTATCTTCCATATGATTTTTATCACAACAAACTGTTATATTGAAATTATATATAAATTTTATGGGGTTATGTTTTATCATATAATTGAGAAGATTGATAAAATAGGATTAAAATGTTAATCGATTATGATAAAATGGTAGAATAAGTTGAGTACACTGTTATAGTGGTTTCTTGAGTTATCATGTCATATATTTTCCCTAAAACTTCACATATTTGAATCAAGGATTGTACTTTATATTTGCAAAAGGTGCCCTTTATGTTTTGTTTTGGTAATTTTACCATTTATTCTTTTCCCCTCACCTCTTTTCTTTAGTCCCTTAAAAAGTTTAAATAATTTTTAATAAAAAAATAAATTGCTTCATAGGCTTTTTCAGGCAACTGTTTACTGTAGGCTCTCTGAGTCCAGAATAAAGATGGCAGCAAATTCTGCTCTGATTTGGATCCATGGATCCATTTTAAACTGGACCTCAGACCACTTCTTCTCCCTCAAACCCTGGCAGGCCTGTGCATATGTTCATCCCATAGAGTTGACTTGGAGCACTAGCAGGTAGATTTTTTTGTTAAAAGAATTCAGTCACATTAGTTCCCCAAAGATACTGGCTTCTGCTGCTGCAAGAATGTCCCACACCAAAATTATCTGTTGCTTTTACTGTGTTTGTAATATGAATATTAATCTTACACTGACTAGAAAATGCATTTAGTTTTACACACTCACAAAAACTCCTATTCCAGATTAATATCATTTAAAATGTGCTTTGGGCATGTGTGAAAATGCCCCCAGATCAGCACCTCCTGGACCCCACTTAGCTAGCTCAATGCCTTATGCTGTTTTGTCAGTGTGGTGTAGTGGATAAGAATTTCAGACTAGTATACCCAGGTTCAAATCCCCACTGGTGCAATGGAAGCTTGCTGGGTCACACACTCTCAGCCTCAGCCTAGTTTGCTGCATGGATAAAATGGAGGAGAATGATGCACGCCATTTTGGGTCCCCACTGGGGAGAAAGGTGGGGTATAAATGAACTAAATAACTGATTTATAAAAATCACATTCTATGGAACTGTGAGGTACAATTTAGGATTAAGGGCTGGGCTAATGTTCTGTGGAAGATAATACCGTGGAGGAAACCGACTGTACCACATCAGTCTACAGTCGTAAGATCAGTTTAGAATGCTTTGTCCTTGATGCGCCCTTTCCTGAAGAACCACCTAGGTAGGTGGTTTATTTTTGATGCGGGGTTTTGGGTGGAAGGGCCGGATCAGGAACGGGCGCGCCACACTTCCCAGATGTTGCTGTGGAATCGCGCCCGTTTGCTGCGCCCCCAATCCGTCCCTTTCCCGGCCCAAAACCTCTCGTGTGACCGGGGCCATAGACATCTTTGGATTAAAACAACTGGGAAAACATGTAAAAAAGCCCTATGAGGTGTAATGGTTTCAGAGACAATTTACTGAAAATAGGTGGTCACTTAAGACAAGAATAAGTCCCTCAATATCACCTACAATGTCACCACTAGATGCCTATCATGACAAACATGAGAGGAAAAATAATGACTTTACAATGTATCAAGATATGATCAACAGATATGGGGAAATTAAATCTTGGCAAGTTATTAACGAAAAAGGGAAAAAGATTAAGTGGTTAACATATCGCCACTTTCATTGAGGTTTAAAGAAGATTTCCATCGAGAAGGAGATAGACTAAGAAATCTGACTGAATTTGAAAAGATAATATTGAACAAAAAGGAACATTTTCTAGGACACATTTATAAACTTTTATTATAATACGACACAGAAACAGAACAAGTCAAGACATGCATGGTGTAATGGTCACAAAATTTTGGGAAGGAAATTTCATTTCAGGAATGGGGGAAACTATGGATGAAAGACATAAAATTTATTTTGAGTCACACTTAGAGAAGATTGGTATAAAATGTGTTATCGCTGGTACCCCCCAAAACATCAAGAAGATGGACAAAAACTAAAGGATTGTGTTGGAAGTGTTAAAGAGATAGACGGTAACTTTTACCATATGTGGTGGTCCTGTAAAAAAAAAACAACTAGTAAATATTGGATAAGAATACATACTGAAATTAAAAAAAAAGAAGATAAAATTTGCTATGTTAGAGACAATGTTACTAGGAATTCTACCAGTGAACGCAGACAGAACAATACATGAACTGCTTAGATACATGTTAACTGCTGCAAGAGTAGTAATTTTAGCGAAGGAGAAAATCAAAGATCGTCCAACTCTTGAGAATTGGATAGACAAAATGCAAGAATACAGTGTTATGGCAAAACTGACAAACTTCATTAATCAGAGACCGAAAGACGAATTTGAAAATAACTGGTGAGATTTGTAGTCATGCAATTGAATGGTTTAAACTATATGATAGTTTCAGTATGAAATAGTAAGGAAGTTATCTTCCATATGATTTTTATCACAACAAACTGTTATATTGAAATTATATATAAATTTTATGGGGTTATGTTTTATCATATAATTGAGAAGATTGATAAGATAGGATTAAAATGTTAATAGATTATGATAAAATGGTAGAATAAGTTGAGTACATGTTATAGTGGTTTCTTGGGTTATCATGAAGAAGAAGAGATTGGATTTATACCCCGCCCTTCACTTGGAGTCTCAGAGCGGCTTACAAACTTCTTTCCCTTCCCCTCCCCACAACAGACACCCTGGGAGGTGGGTGGGGCTGAGAGAACTCGGACACAAATTGCTCTTTTTCAAGGACAGCTGTGCCAGAGCTTGTAACTGACCCAAGGTCACATCAGCAGGTGCAAGTGGAGGAGTGAGGAATCAAACCCGGTTCTCCCAGATTAGAGTCTGCGCACTTAACCACTACACCAAACTGGCTCTAAAACTTCACGTATTTGAATCAAGGATTGTACTTTATATTTGCAAAAGGTGCCCTTTATGTTTTGTTTTGGTAATGTTACCATTTATTCTTTTCCCCTCACCCCTTTTCTTTAGTCCCTTAAACAGTTTAAATAATTTTTAATAAAAAAATAAATTGCTTCATAGACTTTTTCAGGCTCTCTGAGTCCAGAATAAAGATGGCAGCAAATTCTGCTCTGATTTGCATCCATGGATCCATTTTAAACTGGACCTCAGACCACTTCTTCTCCCTCAAACCCTGGCAGGCCTGTGCATATGTTCATCCCATAGAGTTGACTTGGAGCACTAGCAGGTAGATTTTTTTGTTAAAAGAATTCAGTCACATTAGTTCCCCAAAGATACTGGCTTCTGCTGCTGCAAGAATGTCCCACACCAAAATTATCTGTTGCTTTTACTGTGTTTGTAATATGAATATTAATCTTACACTGACTAGAAAATGCATTTAGTTTTACACACTCACAAAACTCCTATTCCAGATTAATATCATTTAAAATGTGCTTTGGGCATGTGTGAAAATGCCCCCAGATCAGCACCTCCTGGACCCCACTTAGCTAGCTCAATGCCTTATGCTGTTTTGTCAGTGTGGTGTAGTGGATAAGAATGTCAGACTAGTATACCCAGGTTCAAATCCCCACTGGTGCAATGGAAGCTTGCTGGGTCACACACTCTCAGCCTCAGCCTAGTTTGCTGCATGGATAAAATGGAGGAGAATGATGCACGCCATTTTGGGTCCCCACTGGGGAGAAAGGTGGGGTATAAATGAACTAAATAACTGATTTATAAAAATCACATTCTATGGAACTGTGAGGTACAATTTAGGATTAAGGGCTAATGTTCTGTGGAACGGAAGATAATACCGTGGAGGAAACCGACTGTACCACATCAGTCTACAGTCGTAAGATCAGTTTAGAATGCTTTGTTTAAAAACTCCTTGGCATACAGAAAACGAACATGGTATACTGTTCCCCTACTGTACTAGTTTTCATGCATGGAGGGGTTTTTGTTTTGTTTTAATGTCAAGGAGTTCGAAGGCAGAAGCTATCACCTGCAGTCTTGTAGTGGATCTGTCTATTTTACTACCATCTCATTCTCTCATGTGCCAAAATGGGCCCTGATGGGTCTAACCAGATGTGTACATTTTCACAATGCCCAGCATTATTCAGCTTTGATGATCAGTAGCACAGGGACTGGGTATGGAGGGAAAGGGAGTTAAGCCCAACATGAAACACCCCAAGAGCTGTTATTTACCCAGCTATGTGACCCTGTGTACACTGATGACGTGAGGCTAACTCAGGAAAGCTAATGCTGAAAGAAAATGTAGAGCGTCGGTAAGGTATCACGAGATTCCTGTCTATTTTTACATGATGTGCTCTTTGAGGCTGTCATGCCCTCTCTGTGATTGACTGGACCTTTTGCGTGCCAAGCGTTATGTTCAAAGAAAAAGACCATCAAAATGCTTCGAATTGCATCCTGACGGTAAAACTTGTCAAGAGGCGCGCCCGCCCAGAGAAGGGGGCAATAATAGCCCCTGGATGGTAATCTCAGCTCGTTGTAATTGACGCTGCGGTCAACAGGGGGCGCCGAGAGAGTGCGCCGTGCTCCGAATTTAGCGGTCGCTTCAAAGCAAAGCCGCTTCGGCTGCAAAACCGCTGAAGTTTAATGGCGTCCTTGTGCTCAGATTAGCTATTCCCTCCTCCCTTCCTTCGGGGAGGGCTGGGCAAGGCGGAGGGAAGCCAGCGAGAAAGTGCTCAGGCAGGCAGGCAGTGGTGGAGGAGAGGCACCACAATGCACCAAGCGCCGACACCCTGGAAAGGCTGCACGGGAGTCTAAGGAGCGGCGGGCAGTTCATGCAAGCGGCGGTGGGAAACGCAGAGCGCAGGAGGCGGCCGCTTGGGAGAGGAGGCGGCGGCGGCGGTGCAAGGGAGAGCCCTTCATCTTCCCAGCAGCAGCAGCAGCAGGGTAAGGCGTTGTCCGCAGCCTCTTTGTGTCTGCTTCCAGGCGGCATCCTCTGGGGATGGGGCGGGGTGGTGAGGCTCGTTTGCTGCTCTCGGGTAGGCCGCCGTAGTAATCTCTCCCTCAGCAGTGGCGACTGGGGCATATGCAATGCGCATTGCTCACACATGCGAGAGAGAGAGAGGCATGCCTTCTGGGTCGCTAGCTTTGGTGCCGTTGAGAGGCCAAGGACCCGGTGTGCAGTAGCGCGGAGGACTGGGGATTTCGAGGGTGGGTTGAGGCCGCAGCGCGACAGGCAGGCTCGCTGGGCGAGGCAGGAGAGGGAAATGAGGGGGCTCTTGTGTGCATCGGCTGGGGAGAATGGACATCCGCTGTGAGCACCGCCTGAGGATCAACGAAGCGGCAGAAGAGGTACCTTGCACGGCGGCGTGGAGATGTGCTAGCCAAATTAGTGAAGGAAGTTCGATTAGATGACTTCTTGTCCATTTATGGCGGCGGTCACACGGGCAGAAAATGCGGGGGAAGCGTGGCTGTTTGTGGAGGTCCTGTGGTCAGGGGGGAGATGCCGATCACACGAGTATCCTGCACTTCACAGGAGTATCCTGCAGGCGGCAAAGAAGCCGCGCTGCGCGATCACACTAGCAATCGCTCTTTGTGCGCATACGCTGTTGGGCGCTTTTGCGCATCCTGCGGAGACTTGGGAGAAAAAAACAACAACCCTTGTTTGCGACGAACACCGGCGGGCGCCGGATGCCACGTAATTCCACCGGAAACGCGATCAGACGCCTGCCCTTGGCCCGTGGTTTCCGGAAACTAGTACCTCGTAAGTACTAGTTTTTTAAGCCGCATCTTCAGCGGGAAGCCACGGGTTCGCTGCGGGAGCACTGCACTTCCCAGATGTTGCGGTGTGATCGCGCCCGGAAAATCCGCGGGACTCCTCTGCCTTTAGCAGGGCAAATGCTCCGTGTGAACGGGGCCTATATTTATACCTATAGTATTAGTATACTCCACACAAAAAACTCCAATTAAAGAAGTTAATCACAGAAGGGTGATTATGGTTTCTCATGATTATGAAGATTCTGGTGATCTTTTTAAATTTTGGTTTAACTATACATTTTGCATGGTGATCAAGCATTTAAACCAATAAAGGGGTGCTCATGAAACACACACTCCATGGCTCATTGTTAACCACAGACATAGAGGGAGGTGGAAATAGAAGTACTTGATTGGCAGCTTTATTTTCATTTATATAGCCTACCTATTTCCCCAGTGGGGACCCAGAGCAGCTTACATAATTTTTCTTTCCTCAATTTTATCCACACAACAGCCCTGTGAAGTAAGTTAGGCTGACAGTGTGACTGGACCAAAGTCAGCCAGCGAGCTTCCCTGGCAGAGTGCGGATTTCAACCCGGTTCTTCCAAATCCTAGTCTGACACTCTAACCACTACATACATCACACTGGCTCTGTCTAGGGTAGTGATGGTGGACCTTTTAGGGACTGAGTGCCCAAACTGCAACCCAAAACCCACTTATTTATTGCAAAGTGCCAACACGGCAATTTAACCTGAATACTGAGGTTTTAGTTTAGAAAAAACAACTCATACATTAATATAAGATGATCCAAACAAAGTAAGGAAAGCAATCCCAAATGCTTTCATTTACTTAAAATTATTTGGCAGAGAATTCCACACTTTAATGACGGTCTGGGCCTGGCTGAGGCGATGGCACGCGTGCCCACTGAGAGGGCTCTGAGTGCCGCCTCTGGCATGCGTGCCATAGGTTCGCCACCACTGGTCTAGGGTATGCATGAGGTATGCGTGCGTGTCTGTATACATCTATCTGTGTACATCCATTGAAAATTTGGTGCAGTTTTGGATGCCGTTCCTGGACTCCCTTTGGCACAGACACCGCTGGCTTGCATTCTGACATTGTATACTTGTTTATGAGAGGGTTTTACACAGTGTATTTCTGCTCAGTGTTCATTTCTGCAGCCAGGGAAGGAAGGAGACCAGAGGTATGTTTGCTGCTGCTGTTACTGTCAAGTCACAGCTGATTTACGGTGATCCCCTAGGGTTTTCAAGGCAAGAGACATTACCTCTGCGTCAAGACCCTCGAGGTATTCCCTGGTGATCTCCCATCAAGATACTAGCCTGGGCTGACCCTGCTTAGCTTCCGAGGTCAGGCTAGCCTGGGCTGTCCAGGTCAGGGCCTAGAGGTATGTAGAGATACATGAAAAGGAAGATGGTGCAGCCACTGTCCACAACCTCCATGACTGTAATACCCATACAGTCATCTTGGTGTCCCTTAGCTTAATCTTTTAACTTGTCAGATTTTCTGCTAGGGAGAAAATAAAGAAATAAAATCTCAAACCCTTTAGCTGTACTTGAAGGTCTGTTGTAAGGGTTGCCACTATGGTGCCTGTCAGCACTTTTCCTGGCACCCGCCGAGCATTTATAGAAAGTGGGCGGGGCAAATGGGGATTTTTGCCAGCAGGGATTCTGATTGGTCACTGGAAGTCTGATTGGGTGTGCGGATTTTTAGAAATGTTGCTTTGGCAGCAGCTGTGATCATAGCACAAGTATCTTCATTGTATGCCTGAAGATAACCTGTGTGTGTGCAAGAAAATATTTTAAAAACCATATGTTCATTTTGAAAGGTTTCATGTTAAATAGCTTCTGTCTGAAATGTTAAAGAGTTACAATTAGAGTTAAGCGTAATCCCACTCCCTGACAATTTTTGTGGTTGGCCCTGTCTCCTGCGGAAGCCATTTTGTGGTCACACCCACGACCCTGTGTTAGAATTCCAGGGGTGTCTCTAGGCTGAAAAAGGTTGGGGACCCCTGGTCTATTGAACATTGGGTGAAGTGGTTAGTAGAACTGAGGGGAAAACATTTAACAAACTTTTTGCAGATTCAAGCCGTGTCATTCCAAGACACACACCCTTTTGATGTACTGATTTACTGAGAACCAATTTTGCATTACTTAGAATGGTCAACGTTTGATCCTTTTATTCTTTTATCAGTCGTGATAACAAATAAAACAGGCTTATGTGTATATATAAATACACACATAACACAAAAAAGGGTTGCATTGTTGTCCTAAGCAATTTATTAGGCATTAAATCTCTGCGTGAACTTATTTAGGGTCATGCTGAAGATCAGTTTGTGTGCATTAGTTACATCAGAACAGCTTATTAACAACACTGGCGTTTCCTTAACTGTATGTGTGAAGTGAGTGGGGGGCCATCTGTCTTAGGTTCCTTCTCACATGCAAGGTAAGTATATGTGTATTTAGTATATTTTTATCTTACCTTTCCTCCAAGGCCCTCAGGATAACGTGCACGGTCTCTCCCTTCTTCCATTTTATCCTCAACAATAATGTGAAGTCGTATAGGCTGTGGGTGAGTGATTGGCCCAGGGTCATCTAGCAAGATTCACAGTGGAGTGGGGATTTGAACCTGGGCCTTGCAGATCCTAGTCTGACACGCTAACCAGTACATCATGCTGGCTTTTTCTCTGTGATCCCACATGTCTATTGGGGAAAAAATTAGTATGCTGAAACTGCTGCTGGCAGTTGCTGCCTATATTCATTGGCCTGCTAACATTTCTTGGGGTCCTCTTCCCAGGTCCAGTTAGGTAGGATTAGTTGGATTTTTAAAAAAGTAAAAGAGCCTGCTTTGCATGTGCCTTTTGGAAGGAACCAACAGTGGTAGCTCCGTTTTTCACATACAAGGGTGTGATCTGGTCTCTCAGTGCACTTTGGAGGGGTTCCTCCCCCCAAAGACTGTATATTTAGGAGATAAGAGGTGGGCTTCTGGTAGGAACCCCCCTCGGTTTTCATTTGCTTGCTTAACTGTGATATACATGAATGGTAAAGCCTTCGTGTCATCCTTACTAGATGCCTCATTTGTGTCCTGCTCCTGAAGTTCATGTCTACTATAATGCCAGAAGATTATATGAGTCTAAAATTAACCAGGGTAGAGGTGGAAGCGGCGCATTTTTGTGTAAATCCATGTGAGAGAAATACTGTGTTGGATCCTGCCCTCTCAAGGCTACCAGGCAGATGGCAGACCTTTGCCTGTTTCTAAAGAAGTTCCGATCATCTAAGCCAAACCAGGCAATTGCATTCCGTTTATATCTGCTTCATGGATGGCTCATATGCTATTCTTGGTGTGCATTTTAAAGCGAGTCTTACTCAAAGCGCTAGCTGGAAACCCACACAGATCGACTGATGACAGTCATCATTAGCTGCAGGGAAGCTGGAAGGAGATCTGGGAGAGGCAGAGAAGAGAAAAATGGCACCTTGGAGTCTGTTTTCTTGAGTTGTGGAAGCAGTAGCCTTGGGCCTTTATACTTAACCTTGGCCCCGGTCACACGGGCCGGATATCACGGGGGGTAGGCGTGGCTGTTTGCCCTGGGGCAAAATAACGCATGGTTGTGCGATCCGACGTCCCGTGGAGGTCCCGTGGGTAGGGGGGAGGTGCCGATCACAGGACAATCCTGCGGTGCGGCAAAGAAGTGGCGTGGTGCGGCAAACGGGTTTGTTTTTTTCTGTACACTAAAGTATGCGCATGCTCCGTTAGGTGCTTGTGCGCATCCATGGAGACTTGGAAAAAAAGAAACCTTTTTGCAAGGGGACATGGGTGGGCGCCGGATGCAACCGGAAATGCAATCAGACGCCTGCCTTTGCCCCGCGGTTACCGGAAACGAGTACCTTGGAGGTACTAGTTTTTTACCCCGCATCTTTGGCGGGAAGCCACGGGTGAGCCACGGGAGCTCTACGCTTCCCAGATGTGGCGGTGAGATCGCGCCTGGAAAATCTGCCTATCTTCCGTCTCTCTAGCGTGGCTAATGTTCCGTGTGACTGCAGCCCTTGGTTTGCATAACAGGTTTGCAATGAGTTAACAGTGTAAGAAATACACATACAGAGCAAGCAGTGCCATCACTAATATTCAGCCATGCTTAAAATGCTGTTCACGAGATTCAAGTTTCACACAATTCTTCCAGT